AATAAGACCATCTTTTCCTGGCTTAGATACTGATACAAGAATTTATAGTAGTTCCATAATAAAATTTATATTCTGTACCAAATGTCTGTTTTCTAATCACATTTACCTGTAATATCTTTGATAATAGCATAAATGAGGATCAGTGCGAAAAGTCCATCCTCAAACACCAGAGACACAATGGTTGGATCAGAACAAAGCCACCATGCACCTGCTCTTCCATATTCCTTCCCTAACCAATTAAACATAGTCTGTAATTATTTTCATTTCCAGCATAATCAATTAAAAGAGCTAGTTTCCCACCCTTGAAAAGCTGACAGTGCTGCTCCTCTATATAATGCTGCATCAAGGGAAGATTTATGGCTAAAATTTGCAGATGCATCTCCATAACTTTCAGAAGAAAGGAGCTTCTGATATTTTTGCTTTGTAGAAGAACGTAAGATGCTCTCACTAGTATGTCAGAAATAACAGGACTTCTGTTTTTCTTTTTTGCTTTTGCTGAAGGCAACCCATTGTATAGCTTTTATGTTTCTTTAAAGGGAGTATTTACCCTAGCCAGTTTGTGCTATTTTCTGTAGTGCAAATGTATTTACTTTACTTCATCCATTCGCTTTATAGTGCATTTGTTAGCAAAGTGGTCTAGTGACTGCCAAAGTAGCATTACAGTAGGGTATGAGTGATGTTGTAAGCTGTGATGGTCCAGAAATTATGCAAGAGGCAAGGATTTTTTAGGTTTATATCTTTTATTGGACTAACTATATAGTTGAGGTAAAGTTAGACAAGCTTTCCAATGTAAGATGTTCTTTCTCAAGTCTCTGGTTGAAGCCAGGCACACCAAATTAAGTACAGCATAGGGGAGGTGCTAAAAAAAATTCTCTTGTGTAACAAACACAATTAGCCAAAGAAAAACAGCTAAGTCCTGGGAGATCAAGACCTATCACAAGGAGGAATGGGGAGGAGGGGCATCAGTCTCACCTTCCTTGTGTGGAAACTATTCAGGAGTTGGATAAATTATAATGGGCCATACATCCAATATCAGTGTTTAGTCCTTGGTTCTTAGTTTCCAACCATCTTATTAATCTTTTGTTCCCAAGTTTGCCTTTTAAAGGTGTTAGATAGATTTCTCTTCAGCATTAGGATAGTGAGGTTAGAGACAGGCTGTTTTGTGAGAAATTTGCTCCCAATGTTCAGTATAGCCTCCATTCTTTATATTTTTCTTGTCAGTCCATTCTCTTACACGGTCGCTGTTTAGTTTTGCCCACATAGTTGCTATGATGGCATGTGGTGCGTTGGATAAGGTATATCACTTTTTGGGAAAGGAACCATAGATTCTGGTTTCTTTATAGAGGGTCTTGATAGTAGTGGCAGTGGAGATGTGTTGACAGGGTAAGCATTTCTTGCCAAGGCAAGGCTCTGTTCCACTTGATATCTGTTGGAGAGTTTGCTTCTGATTATAAGTGGAGTGGATGTTTGAAAACCAGGAGTGGAGGGGTGAGGAATATTTCTCTGAAGGTCTAATATTTGTCCAGTATTGGTTATAGTTGCTTGGTGATTCTTCTGATTGGTTCCAGGGGGGTACAGTCACAGGTGGTTTTCTTTTTGTATTGCAACAGGTTACTGCAGGGTCACTACGCAAAAGAATGAACTCTCAGAAAAAATTAAAAGGATGGAGGCGTACACTCACCATTAGGAGCACATTTCTCCAAGGGAAGGCTGTGTTCCACTTGATGTCAGTTGGGCAATAGAGAGTTTCTTCTGGTGATGAGTTGGCAAGGTTGGGGACCTGAGGAAGAATGCTTTAGGCTGGAAAGCTTGTCTAACTTTATCCCAACTACATAGTTGGTCCAATAAGATATCACCTCAAGAAATCCTTGCCTCGCGAAAGGTAACAAAGACATGACCAGGTTTGAGATTGTTTTTGAAGTACAGTAAAAAACTCATACATTGAAGTGCTATGAAAAATAGATCATTGTTGCCTTCTTTGGATCACATCACATATATGATATAAAATCATGCAGTTTCTGGGCAGCCAGAACTCCCACTGAAATCAGTGCATTTTTGGTGCATAAAGATGGCAGAATCAGGCTCTTTGTCAAAAAAAGCTGAGAACCCCAAGCCCTACTATCACCATACTTTCACTTCAGTGGGACTTCCATGACTATTAATGAAGAGTGTGCCTGCAATGTTGTCTTAATTTTATGTTCAGAGAGTCATTTTTGTCCAAACTTTGTGTCCTCACATAACACTGAAGAATACAGGTGCTTTGAACCTGTGCTTGCTTACATAGCTGCAGTTATGGATTCAAGCCCCAAATGTGGATTAGCTCAACTGGAACTAACTTACTTTGCAGTGAACACATGCAAGAGATTACTCAGGTGCTGACAGTTGTCCAGTGCCCTTTCCATGATTTCTCCTAAGGGACGGACAAATCCTCCCAGAGTTTTCTTGGAAAGAAACTTCATGTGTTTCAGTGCAAAGAACCACAGGATTTAACACGTACATGGATGAGTGTAGGAAGAATAAAGACACGATGTGAGTAGGGCTCTGCTATAGAAACACCTAAGGCCAGATTCTGTTCCATCTAACGTAAGTGGACTTATGTGCCTGAGTGCAATTTCACTGTGCCTTACTCCAATCCTTGGGAAACAGTTAATGCAGTAGGTAGGTAGGTTCTCCTTGTAAGGAGCACATAAGAGGCCTTGGGCAACCTTGTGTAGAGACAGATTTACAAGACCAGATTCCTTCTTTTTTGTTGATTTAAACAGGATATCATTAACTAAAGTGTTTGACCACAGTAACACAAAGTACCTGAAACCCATTACCATAACAAATAACACTCATTGTCAAGACTCAAACCCTAACTGAGAACCTTTGAAAGGCCATCCTAGTTAAAGAGTTGTTAAGTGTTACCATAAATTCTTCACTTCATTGGGGCTGTCTTCATGATCAACCCCTTTCTTTAACATACACCCAATCGAACTGTAGATAGATGTATGTAATTAATGTTTGCGTATGTGTGATTTTAAACCCGGAGAGAATGAAAGAGGGGAATAACAGACCTGAGTGTTTGAGGGAACTGAACAGCTAACAAGAACTCAAGTCTTTGGAGTCCAGCCTATACCCATCCTACCATGCATGAGAATATTTTTGTATTTCCATTGCCTAATCTGCTAGTTAAATTTTTAATTTAAATTTAAATCATTTAAATGTTTTAATTTTCTAATCAAGTGATTCTCTTGAGAAGAGATGGACACGTTCTTTCTTTGTTCCAGGTCCTGAAAAGAAGGCAGTTGGCAGGAATTAACACACATCAGTTTCCTGACCTCTGGGTTAAACACAAACAAGACTGTGGAACAGTCAATGTAGAAATCCCTACCAAAAGTCAACTTCTCCTTCAAAAAACAATACAAATTGTCACCAGAGGCAGAATCAGGAATCAGAGGTCAAAGTGCATCTGGAAAAACAAAGAATTATTAAGAAAACAGTTAGCAAAACTAATTCCTCTATTTGTACAGTAAAGAAAGCAGATTGGAAATCCTGGAGATTTGTGATGGATTTCAAAGTTCTTAATAAACACACACATTGTTAGCTCCTGTTGTAGCCTCATACCAGTATTTGATTTAAAGGATTACCAGGGAGAAATTTTTTTTTATACTTTTGATGTTGGAAATGGCTATTGGTCACTCCCAGTCCAGGAGCAAGACCAGTGGAAGTTAGCATTTACTTGCCAAGGAATTTAATATACTTACACTAAAATGCCACAAGGATGGAATAACAGTCCAGCTAGGTTTCACAGAGGTTGTGACTGATAGCTTACAAGATTTATTAGATACTGGGAATGTATTTGCTTATGTAGATGACATTTGTGTAGCAACTGAAACAGAGTAAGATCATTTTGAAATAGTGTAGCAGTTGTTTAAAACATTGCAAGAAGCAGGTGTGAAATTAAGTGGTAAAAAGGTACAAATTGCTCAATCTGAAGAACAATATTTGGGAATTACTTTGAGAAAAGAAAGAACTCAAATTGGGCTCAATCCATTTTAGAAATCTTTTAATCAAGAAAGAAAACCAAATACAGGTGTTGCTCTATCTAATCAGTTCTGTATCTGGAGACTTCCATAGAAAAACAACCGTTGCTATACTGGTACTTGAAAATATGGCAATAATTGACTGGCCTTCACTTTTACCAGATGTAAAAAACTTCAACCATGTTTCTACATTAAGAAGATGGTACAAGACTATGAATGGATTAAATGCATTGAATTCAATATGTTCAGTGTTTTTAAAACCAGACTGTCGTTAAACACAATAACCAAAAGATTAAAGAAATTGTAAATACTCTCAAAGCTGATGCCAAAGTTAGCTGGTTGGGAAAGCCTATTGGGATATGCCTCTGCTGCTACAAGTGTATTAAACTTAATTCAGGGATAAAGGTTGTAGCCATGTTGGTCTAAAAATACAAGCAGTTAGTGTGGTAGAGGCATTATCTTTTATTAGGCCAACTAGACAGGTGCAAAAAAATGTCTTTATTTGCAAGCTTTCAGGCTCACGCACCTTTCCTCAGGCAAAAGAGAATGCAAAGATTGTAACATTTCTCTCAGGTAGAAGTGGAAATTCATATTGTACAAGAGAGCTGGAGGGTGGTGTAAATTCTCCTGGCTGGAAAAGTTAATGCTACATCCATTGCTGCAAGTCTTGTGTTTCAAACTGTAGTTTTAGTTAGTATGATTGTAGTGTGTGTTTGTACAAGAAAACAGCAAAACCAAATAATCCATATGAACAGAACCTTCTTGGAGGCTTACACTAATAAGAGTGCTTTGAGATTGTAAGTCCCAAAGAAGGCAGGAAGTCAGTGATGGGGATGATTCTTTATAAGGCAAGAACACTCTGGGCAAGGCAAGAACACCTTTAAGAAAACAATACTTTGTTTCCTTTCCTGACTACCTAAACCAGGCCTTATTGCTAGAAGATAAGATATTCCATGATGGGTAACCAGGAAAGTGAAAATTATTTGGTTAGACAAGGTTCTTTGTGTAAATGTGATATCTTATATTAGACCAACTAAATACAGGCAACCCTCACCATTCACAGGGGATACGTTCTTGTATCCCCTGCAAAAAGGTGAAATCTGCAAATAAGGCACTGCATCCATGAATGCGGTCTGTATTCATGAACTCAGTGCCCCTGGCAGCTGAGGGGAGGGCACAGCTGCTCTGGTGACGGCGGGAGCCCAGCAGTGGTGGCGGGAACCTGGCAGCGGCAAACACAGAGCTCCCAAAGAGCTCCTTAAAGTGTATTTAAGAAGGAGGTTCGGCATTTGCGAATATTTGAAACCACGAATGCCAAACCCGCGAATAGTGAGGGTTTCCTGTAGTTGGAAAATTTGCTTTTTGCAAGCTTTAGGGCACAAATTATTAGGCTATAAATGTTAACCTCCTACCTGAAATCCCCTTCAATTCTGTTGAGTTATCAAGAGGCTGGTGAATATAGGAACACATTGGAAGCCTTGGCATAAGTGCCTCCATCTACATCCTCCAGACAGGCTTCCAAGGCCAGATTCCATGTTTTGCTGATGTAAACAGGAAAGGACTAAATGTTTTCAATTACCATAGAGAATAGCACTCATTGCCAAGACTCAAAACCTAACTGAGAACCTCTGAAAGGTAATCCTACTTAAACAGTTGTTAAGTGTTTATCATAAATTCTTCACTTAGTTGGGGGATGGGATTTTTCATGATCAGCTCCTTTCTTTAACATATCTCTAATTAAACTGGAGATAGATGTATGTCATGAATGACTGTAGCTATGATTGTAAACCTGAGGAGGATGGAAGAGAGGAGTAATAGCCCCTCTAATGATTGGGGGAACTGAAAAGTTAACAAGAGCTCAGAGTTCCTGGGTTCCAGGCATAAGTATGTTTTTGCATTTCTATTGTCTGATCTGAATCCTAGTTAAACTTATGCTTAGCTTTCCAATTAAGTGATTCTCTTGAGAAGAGACTTGCCTGCTCTCCCTGTTCCAGGGACCCATCCAACAAAGTAAGCTACATTTGTTCCGATTTGGGGATAGATACCTCTTCACTCCTCCTTCTCGCTACCTCTCTGGCTAGGGATAGTGATTGGAAACCTGTTCAGATCTGTAACACAGAAGTTCAGTGCACATAAGCCACTTTCAAAATGTCTGAAACCAGTTTAAGATAAATCTGGGTGGATGTAGCATCAGATTTAACTGATTTAGGTTAAATCAGTTTATTGAACTTCTGACCCAGATTCCCTACAGATTCAAGTTAACTCACAGTCCCCCAACATCCCAGGATGCTTTGCACCTCTCCCACAAACCACCCTTGCAGGGTGGGCGGGCTAGCCTTGGCCTAAGCTGTCTGCTCCAGCTGAGCAGGGAGTCATGCTCTAGTGCCCCCCCAGCTTCTGGTCTGGGCTACTGCAGGCATGTGACTGCATTTCCAGAATCAAATAGTGAATGTCTGTTCACCTGCTTACTGGTTTAATCTACTCAGTTTAGACAAACCAGCAAACACTTAATCGATTCAGTGTTGGGCTTTTTGACTGTTTGTACTTAGCCCCTGTGACTCAGGTAAGATGATGGTGTGTTAAAAAAGCAGATGCATTAATGGATTTTCAGGACCTCAACAGGGTGATCAAGAAAAAAAATCAGATGCAACAATTCCTCGCAAAAAAAACAGCTTTAGCCTTTACCAGGATGGAATTTGAAATCCAAATTATGTTTTTCTTTTCATTAAGTATTTTTTTTTTATAAACCTATATAAGTTGGTGCTTCTGCAATGTATCCTTGCTGCTTCAGCAGTGTATTCTTCCTAGCCACTCACTGCAGTAAGCGGGCACTGCTTCCTATTAGACAGAGAAAACCCACAGGTTATTGTATGATATTAAACCCTAAAATGATTGATCATCTTTAGTTTTTCAGAGGCAGAGTAGTTATTGGGGTTTTTTTTAACAGGTGATTGTAATGCAGGAAACATTTTCTAGTCCACCGTGGGGATATTATGTAGCTTAAATAATGAGCACAGATAGCAGAAGGCTGGATTGCCTTGTTTTCCTTACATATAAAAACAATTGCTTAAGTGACTTCCCAAGTGGATTCTACTCTTGGTGTGCATGACCAGGTTTGGTTGGCCAGCAGCATGTTGGGACTGCAACCCTACCCAATGACATTCCTAACAAACATACCCAATTTCATATGTGAAACACAAATACTTGCACAGAGAAGCAAGTATGTTGTCCGATTCTGCAACAGTTCCTACTAAAGACATGTAGACAAAGGAGCCCTCCTAAGAAAGAAAGCCAAACTTTTGTTCTGATTTAATAGAAGCATAACATTCATATTAGCTCTCTTCCCATGGCAAAGGATGCTAGGAATTCCATGAATTAGATAAGGAAGCTACATAAGCACATAAATCCTGTGTGTAACACCTCAGAAGTGCCACACAGTGGAACCATCTTTTTAATCATGCTATAACAAATCAACCGGCAAACATTTGAGTAATACTGCAGCACTTTTCGATATCTATGTTAAAAGAAAGATACACGTTTTTGAGATGTGGAGCATGAAATACTTCACTCAGCCACAATTCTTTTCCTGCCGTCTCAAACATCAAGAACTCCATTCATGCAAACATGGTGGACATGCAGCAAATCTGATGATAGAACCCAGACAAGTTATTTAGATGAGAATATTTGTAGGCAAACTTGGACAGCCTATAAACCCAGCTCTGCCAAAACCAGAAATCCAGTATAATGTAAGGTAAAGCTGTTGAATATTTCGGCTGCCCACCGCACAGGCCACACCCTAGAGGGGGACATTCCCCTGCTGTGCGGCTCCTCCCCATGGTATAACACAACACACCCCACCCTCCTCACTCCCAGGGGCAGAGCCAGAAAGTGGAAACGGGAGGGAGGGGAAGCCTGGAGAATACAACAGCAGCATGAGTGGTGGGAGGAGCAGCAGCCTGGCAAAAGCCTGCAGGTCAGGCATTAACTTGCAGGCCACGTGGTCCACGGCTGCCAGCTGGACAGCCCAGATATCAGCCTTGCATGTGTCTGACTGAGGGTATACCGCACCCTCAGTCAGAGGAAGTCAAGGTATTTCACAATCAGTTAATGAAGGAAAGAGGCAAGCTCCAAAAGGAAAACAGTGACAGCAAAAGGAGAGTTTGGAAACTGTTAACAGTGAACATTTAATGGGAAGCAGAAGGAAAGGGAAAAGACTAATGGCAGGAAGGCAAAAAGAGAACTGGGGAAAGAAGAATAATGGCAGAAGTTATCAAGAGAAATCAAGGCCAAAAAAACGGAAATATAGAGTAGCCTGTGACATCCACCTGGAAAACACAGTTCTTCCCAGTTTTTCCCCTGTGAATTGAGAACTATTGCCTCACCTCATGGGATGAAAAGACATGGTTACTTTGAGTAAATTTCAGAAGTGATCACTAGTGCACTAGCAATGATTAGTACAGGGGTGGGCAATTATTTCGGGTGGAGGGCTGTTCAATGAATTTTGGTGAGCCGTTGAGGGCTGAATGGGTAGTCCCACCACTTGACAGGAGCCCCACACCCTGGTCACCATCTTGGGACTGCAAGTCCTGCCCCCAAGGAAAGAGACTTTTGCCACCGGAAGTCCCTCTCCATGCCCCACAGAAGTACTCCTCTTGGGAAGGGGGTTTGCCATCTTGGAACCAAAAAACCCCCACATTATATACTAAAAATCAAACACTGATAATAACACATCTTAATTTTATTTAAAAAAATATTTTTGTCCTGCTTTGTGTGTTTTGTCTAGGCAGCCCAGGTGGCAGTGGCTCCTTCCAGCTGTCATCACTGGCCCCAGCCCTGTGGTACTGGCAGGAACCCATGTGCACAGCCTCGACCCCAGCCCTCATTGCGCCCACTCCAGGCTCCGCCCGGCGGGGTGGCGCACCCCGAACCCCACAAGTGGAAGCAGCAGCGGCGCGGGACAGAAGCTGTTGCTCAGCATGGGGGAAAAGTGGCCTCTTCCTCTATCCACTGCTGGCTGTTCCTACTGTAGCCACCAGGAGCCTGTGCTGGGCTGTCCTACATCTATGCCACTGTCACAGCTGCTTCCAGGCTGCCCAGCAGTGGCAGTGCAGAGCAGATGCAGGGTAGCCCGGCGCAGGCTCTGGGCATTTGCAGCAGGAACAGCCAGCAGTGCCAAGGAGGAGAAGCCACTTTTCCCCAGTACTGAGCAACAGCTTCTGTCCTGTGCTGCCACTCTCCAGCCTGGGCAGATGAGCCTGGAGCAGGCACAGGGCATGTAGCTGTGCAGCACAGGTCCCCACCGGTACCAAGGGGATGGGGCCAGCAGTGGCTGCAGCTGGAAGGAGCAGCAGCCACCTGGGCTGCCTAGAAAGGCAGTCCAGCTGTGGAGCGGCCCTAGCCCCGTTGCCTGCCCAGGGGGCAGCAGGACACACCACAGCTAGATAGTGCTTGGGCCAGGTGGGACTGAGGGACCCGCCACAGGTCAGACAAAGACCCACCACAGGCCGTATTTTGCCCACTCCTGGACTAGCACCTATGTATTCAGATAAAATGCTGTTTAATTGTGTAGTGAGAACTATAACTACAAGAACAGAGGACCAAACATCACCACCTCTGGAGAGAAGATCAATAAAAGATGAGAGGAAACTAATTTGTCAAAGTGCTTGGGCTAAGTTCCAGGTTGCCAGCTATGCAGGCTGAACTCCTCTACTGCTCACAGCAGCAGAGTGCAGGTACCAGAAGAATAGGTTTTGTCTCCTGCTGCAACTCCTCATTATTTATTTGTGCTACTGTCACACCCAAGAGTCCCAATTCATAGACTAGGCCTCATGCATCCACCATACTCAGCATGGTGCATGGCACAATACTGAAACTCTAAGAACAGAAGAAGGTGGCACTGCCCCAAAGACCTAACAATCTAAGCAATTGAGTATGCCTAAAAGCAAGCCCTTTTCTTTCCTCTTTGTGTTAGGTGGTCATTTTTGTGGCACTTATTCACTTGGAAACGCAGTGAAACCCACCAACTCATTCCAGTCTTCAGATAGGAACAGCATTGGGTAAGTGGCAACAGGGAACAGATTGAAGTTTTCCCAGATGACAATTAGAATAATTGCATCACACAGACGCACTGAATTTGTAACATCTGTGAAAATGCAAGTTTCATGCTGAGCCCCTCTCCTAGGGTCCCAAGTTGTTTATGCGGTACTGTGCTGCACCTGGCAAGGAATGGGGAGCAGCAACTCTCCTGCTCCTCCTCCCCTCCCCACCCCGCCCCAGTCCCTTGAGCAGGCAGACAGCAGAAGTTGCAGGGACTTCCAAAAGACCAGACAAAGTAGCACTATCTAGAGACCCTTCATGGCCAAACTTCTGTCCATCTATATTGCACATAAGTTGCAAAGGAAAAATATCAAAGCTAACCCCATAATGCCATATATTCAGTGCAAAATATGATGATCAATTGCTATTGTTACAGCAACCCTTTACTTTAGAATACTGAGATTTTTTGCAATTTTGGCCTCAGCTATAAGAGCTGTTTTCCTATTTTCCATTTTGTTTCATAATTATTGGGTTTTTGATTGACACTTGGATTATGCAGATGCTTAGATACTGTTGTGATAGAAGCTATATGAAGCCCTGGATTAAATTGTTTTGTTTAGTGTGTTACAGCACATTAAGTTCTATTAAAAACCCTCTTGTGCAAATTCAGAATTGAACTTTCATTTGATAAAAGGACAGAGGCTCCCTTGCCCTGTAGCCAGGAATCTGCAGGGATGCTTGATTTTTCCGTATACAGTTCTGTGCAGCAGCTGCACTTCTACCATCAAAGCTAATTAACAGAGGATAAAATACTTTAAAAATTATTTAAAGGCAAAGGACTCAAGTCTGAAAGAATTTTATACCACAGATTCTGCCAGTTACAAAAACTGTTGAAATAGATGGGTTCTACTTCGAGGTGTTAAGTCTCTTATGTGCGTATTAATGACCTATATTCCTGCCTTCCTAATAGATTTTAAAACTCATAAAGAAAAGGTCTAGCCAATTTTAAGTCAGTGACATTTTCAAATCAGTAATACAATTAGAAAACTGAAAGGATAATTTCTACTTCCAAAGTCTACTTTTTCCATTACAACTCACTTTAGAAAGCAGTTCTATCTATTTTGTATATACATAAATAGTAGTATATATGCTGTAATTGATACTTTTAAAGAATTATACTTGCTTTTTAAAAACTGATCGGGCATTCAAGTTCTAGTAATATTGAACAATGACCTATATAGTGAATGCATGACACTAGTGAACAAACTGGGAATTACTATTACACATCATTTTTTCCAAGAGAAAACCAAACTGTGATTTACAGACTATTGATAGTCTGTAATGCCATGAGGAGTGGTCTATAGCTTGTCTCCACTCTCATTTCAATTAAAAATGTGATGAAGGTATACTATGGTCCATGAGACTTGAACCCAGCTGTAATAACAAGCCTGTGGATACATGTAGTCACAGGTGGACTGATATGGGCTTGATGACATGGTGATGGTTGTTCTTTTTGACTATTACAATTTAGTCCTATGCTGTGTGACCTCCTAGGCCGTAGACCATTCATATCTGGACCCGGTAATCCTTAGTTTAGTCAGCTGTTCTTCCTGACTCCTAAATTGTAGGAGGTCAGGGAGCGGGACTAAGTCTTGGCTAATTTGCTAATGTGGGAATAAGCCTGTCCTTCCAGTGCTGAGTTCCGGACCAATTCTGTGGGCCTGCTGTGGCTGCACGAATCTTGCTGATCTCACTGGCTCTGTGCCTGTACTGTCAAAATACATTCAGATGCATTTCAACCCCATTTAAAAAACTGACCCGAGGAGCACCACATATTGTGTTTGTATTCCAGCAGTTTAATCCCCATCCAGCTCCCTGCTCTGTGCATGTGTAAAACCGCATATACAAGCCTTGCGTAACGCACCTCTTGCTAAATGTATTTGGGCAATTAGGAGGTGGTTTTCAGCCTCTGGGCTGGTGCAGGAAATAAACACATGGGATGGAGATAAGGAGAAGAAACCACTTACCAAAAGGGGTCTCCAAGGTATTTTTAAAACCCTTGCAGCAGCAGAACCTTGGCTGCCATAGCCTCCCATAGAGCTTCTGCCATGGGGCGAGGGCCCCTGCTTTACCTGGGGCAGGTTAGGGCATCATGTGTTACACTTGTGTCAGGGTTGACTGTGTTGTGTAGCTTTGCTATTAGGTTGGACAATAGATTTGTACAGGATGGTTTAGATAGGGGTGGTCCTGCTTCAGGCCGGGGATTGGACTTGATAGCCTCTGAAGCTCCCTTCTAGCCCGTCGCTATGGTTCTGTGCATTTGTTGAGGAGGGTGGGAGGGGGGTTCATGGCCATCCATCGATCCCAACAGTTTGGGAACTGCTAATATTAGACATTCTGGGCCTGGGCTTCTATTGGAGATCGGTGACTGCAGACAGCAGTGGTATTTAGCATCAGAAGTCATAGGAAAGAGCCTGCTTCACGGTCCTGCCAATGCATCTCAGACAGCATTACGTCCGTTCAGATGAAAGGACAGAAGTTGGCCACCGCGAGCTCTCCACAGATGATGTCACCTGGG